AACTTCAAAACTTACTAATGCTCCAGTGCAGGCAGGGAAATACAAACTTTTGTGATAATAGAATGGTAAGGGAGCAAGGCCATGGAGAGTATTAAAGGAAGAAGAGTTCATGTTGGATGCAGATGGAAAATCACAGTAAGGGAGCAAAGGAAATGGAAGAAATAAAGCTGAACAGAATGGGTTGTCTGAGTCACTGAATGTTGAGAATAGGAAGTCATTGTAGGAAACTTGAACAGCTAAGATATTTTCACTCCGATGAGACAGTTAATGATATAGAACTGAATGGGAATGAGAAAGTACAGGAAGAGTCAAGTGTAGGTTGCATCCAGCAGTGTCTGTCCCCCAAGAGAGTACCATCCCTTTATAGGAATGGAATCACCCAGTACACCCTGCATAATCTCCTATTTATTAGATGAAGGAGGATGCATAAGGTATCAGATTTTGTGGCTCAAGTATAAGTTTGCTCCCTTAGTATCTGAAGACTCTCTTGGAGGTATAAATCACACACACACATTCTTGGTGATAAAGAAGGTCTCAACATATTGTGATAAACCATGAAAACAATGACATTCTTCATGATTTGGTACTTTTATTGTAAACATTTCATTTTTACAAAAAAACTTTTTTGCAAGAACCTTTTGCGAAGAATATTTACACTTACGGTTCCCCACCTTTTTTTGACCAGGGACCACTCTCCTACATTAGTACCAAAAGAGTTATGAATCAGTTTTTCGTCAACTTTAGATTTTGTTTAGTTATTTGGGGGTGCTGATTCAAAAAACTGCACTGGATAGGCCACATCAGCTCTAGTTTCTGATACAGAACATTTGCCATCCAGTAGTCGCCATCTGCTCACGCACAGAAAACCATACTTAGTAATCTCGAACTATGTGGTTTATCCATGGGGGAAGGGCTGGTCAACAGGGAAGGAGTAGCTGGCTGTGTGAAAGGAGCGGAAATAAAATAAAATAAAATAAAATGAAGAGGAAGGAAGCTCGCGGACCAGATTTTTGTCCTCGTGACGCACTGGTGTTCTGCAGCCCACAGGTTAAGAACCACTGATTTACTCATACTTTTCTGCACATTTTTTCAAACTACAAGGATTTGTTAAAAAAAAACCAATATTGTTTTATTAGAAAATATGCAGGAACTCTGGTCATCTCACCTAGTGGGGATAAAATTTTTGAAACTGCTAGTTCTTGCATGCAATAAAATAATTGAATATTTATATCTTACATATATACATTTGTTTTTCATATAGCACGTGCATTTGTATTTTAAGTGCATAATTGTATTGAAAATCAAGGAATTCTGGGGAAGGGAAATAGTAGGGGATCAATGACAGAACCTTGAAGAATGAAAGGATTAGTAGGAGAGTAGAGGATATTCCTCCAGTGAGAATTTTAAGGAAGAGAATTGACCATCACAAAGATAGCTTGATGCAAGCTAAAAATCTAATACATGGGTGCAGCACAGAAGGATTGGTATGATGTATCAAATGAAGCAGTTTGCTATTGAGCAGTGATTCATAAATTATAGTGAGGGCAGTTTCATGAAACAGTGGGCAGAAGGAAGATGAGTATATCTTGCCCCAGGGAATTGTATTTTTTGACATATGGCCTATATTGCCATTGGAAAGTAAACAGTGATTCTTCCTTTTTTGATTATTTTTATGGGTGAGGATTTCAGTATCTAAAACAACCCTGAGAGCATGTATTTAATGCTGTATTCAACAAGGGCTAGGTAAAAAACAGCCAGCTAACCTTACTGCTTCCTTGCTCAGTAGCTTCTCCTCTTGTGTGTGGATCATAATGCTGATGGTGCAGCGATAAAGAATAATGCTTCTCAGCAAATTTCAGAAAGCTACACTAGAGCATACACCTGTATGTGGATTACAGCACCTCATTATGATAACAACATAGATAGAAGAGAGAGAACACGTAGAAGAGCAACAAATATTAAGGAAGGATTAAAACTGACTATGTGTTCATGGATAGCTACTGGAGCTTAACATATATAGCTTAGAGAAAAGGAGATAACATGGGGAGTAGGTGATAAGAACCTGAAATATTTGAGAGGCCCTAATATAGAGAAAAAAGGAAAAATTTATATTGAAACAACATTGTTGTTTTAAAAAAACATATTAGCTTTAAAAGTCGGCAGTTTGGAACACAGTCCTATGCATGTTTATTTGGACGTTAATATCATTGATTCTACAGAGTTTGCTTCTAACTAAGTGAATACAGAATCATGCAATCTTAAGAGTTGGAAGGGGCTGCATGGTCCATCTAGCACAACCCCTGCCAGGCTGGAATACACAATTAAAGCCCTCCTGAAAGATGCCCATCCAACTTCTGTTTAAAGAACACAAGAAGAAAAATCCCCCACCATCCTCAAACTGTCTATTGTACTGTTAGGTAGTTTATATAGTAAAAAAAAAAATCTTCCTATTGTTTAGGTGGAATCTCTTTTTTTGTAATTTGAATTCTGGAGCAACAGAAAACAAGTTTACACATGTTTTAGACAACATTCAATGTTTAAAAATAGCTGTCATATCACTTCTCAGTCTTTCCTCCAAGAAAAACACACCAGCTCCCTCATATGACATAATTTCCAGAATCTTGATTGCTTTTTTTCTGAACATATGCCAGTTTATCAAAAGCCTTCCTTAGTTGTGGTGTCTAGAACTGGACACAGTATTCCAGATGAGGTCTGACCAAACCAAAACAATGACTTCCCTCAATCTGGATACTATACACTTACTAATATCAGTTGCATTGATTCTTCATTACACTGTTTAGTCATTTACTGTTCACTTACATTTAGTTCGTTCTCTACTAGGACCCCTAGATCCTTTTTCATGTGTACTGCCTTCAAGACAGGTGTCACCTATCCTATATTTGTACACTACAATTTTTCTATTACAATTTTCACATATTTGATTTCATGCGAGTTGGATAGTATCATCATCATCATTATCATCAGCGGTAGTTCTGCTCTTTTATACTCCCAGTATTAAGGCAATACAAAATTAACTGCTGCCTAAGGAGAATGAATTCTTATTGAAGGGAAGGCAGCTACCTTTGATAGATTTCCCATGATTTCTGCACATTTATACTAGGAGTAGGCAATTTGGGGTGCATATATCACTTTCCCTCCCACTTCCAAGCCCACTGGGACTATACTCTATTCCATTACAATAGCATCCAAATTTTCTCCCTTTCAAGGTATTGAACTACTTGCTTGGTGGCAAAGTCAAGAAATACCTTTATATTTCATGATTGTGCTACATAAACCTTGATTAGCCAGTATTGATATACATTGCTAATTTTGAATTGATTTAGTGACAGGAGACCCAGGAATAATGAAAGTTTGGTAGAAAAGAGAAAACCAAAGGAAAAAAAATAGTAGCACAGCAGAGAATTAGTAAGTTATTCAAATGAGCAACAAGAGAAGACAGATGACTTTTAAAAAGAATATGAATATCATCTTTCACCGAAACTAAGGCACCATCAAATATAAGATGTACCGATGAAAGATGTAAGATTTAAAAAAAAATTAGAATTTCTTTTGCATACAAAATACTTCTTTATTTGTGTAATATAATATTTCCTGGCCGGGAGTGAGGAGGGAATCTGAAGAAACCTGGAAGTCATCCCATCTATATGAATCTATTTTACTAAGTTTAATGGGAAGCAGTGGAAGCAGGATGCAGTGCTTAGTTCAGCCAGACAGTAAACAGTCATCTGGCTGAGGCTGAACACAAAATGGTGGGGGCTGCCAGAGCTGTTTGGGGTTGGGGCCCTTGTTTCTCCTCCTCTCTCAGAGATGGTTTTAAAACAAAAAACAAAAAAAAAGGGGGAATCGAATCTTTTGAAACACCGTAAACCAGTGGTTCTCCCAGAAATCCTAACAGCTGGTAAACTGGCTGGGATTTCTGGGTGTTGTAGGTCACCTGGGGACCCACAGGTTGAGAACTACTTCCTTAAACAGTGAAAATGTCTTTATGTCTGACAAAATATAGTATTAACAATTCATTATAAAAAAGGAATGCATTTAGTCTTTACCTGGGAAGCACCAAAACATAAATCAACATGTGAATAATAACAACTGCTGGATATGCCAAGCAATAAGGAAGACCTGTGAAGCAGACGGATTGGACTGGTTTTGAGGAATATGAAAAAAGTAAATTTGAATGTTAAAATGAATAAGATTTGAAATGGTGAGACACAATTAGGTTTATTATTGGTATGGATGGGTGAAAAAAAATGAGAGACCCCCATGAGGGTCACCTGGGAACATTGGATGAAACTCTGTACGGAAACTAAATGGAAGTCTTATGTTTTTAATATGTGTAAGTATGTGTGTTGATGTGTGCTTTATATTCCTTCCCTCTGTAAGCAGGGGGACACATTTTATGTGCTTGTGTATGCATGCTTGTAATTATATATATGTATTGTACCCTCCCTCCTCACCTCTCCCCCATTTACCCTCCCCTCCCCTTTCCCCGATCCCCTCCCCCCTAGTCCACGCCTACCCCCCCCCTTTTGTTGTAATTTATAATAAATCTAATAAAGATCATTAAAAAAAGAATAAGACTGGGCTGTATCATCTCATCATGATTCATGACTTAATGGTTCCTGAGTTACAAATGGCTGAAGCCAACATGTCTTTTAGAGATTGTATCTCTCAACTATCACTATAATTGTTGCTGGCTAGAAAGGGGGCTTAAGTTTGTATTGCATGGATTATGCCCTTAGTCAAGCATAACATAAATGCTGTAAATCAGAATACCTGCTGGTTTATAAAAATCTAAAAGAGTGCTGTCAGCTTTTTAGAGAGGCCTGTTTAAAAATATTTGAATACCTCAGTAAGAAGAGTGCCTCAAAATTACATCACCCCCACATACTGCACCATTACTGATTTACAGTTTACAGTCAAGTATATAGCAGTAGCCCTTTGTAAATTAAGATTAATTATTTTTCTCCATTTCTTCACAGGAATGTTCTCTTTGTAATTTGAGAGGCGGAGCACTCAAGCAAACTACTGATAAAAAGTAAGCGACTCATCCAGTAATACCATGCTGATTCTCCTTCAGCAGTGTTATTTTATTAGCATCAAAGAGTTTTCAGTGGGGTGTTAGCAGTGGTTCATCCCACCCATCATGTTGTATGTGAGCTAGTCCTGTTTTCTAGATATTCCAAAGGAAAGTTATGAGATAAGAATAAGTATGAGGTATTTCTTCATTCAGTTTAACTTCCTAGCAGTATGGAATTTGTGTCAACACAATAACAAAGAAATTCTTCCAGCTTATTTTGTGTAATCTAAGTAACTAGAACTATTGTTGAACCACTTATCAAAGGCTGGAGTTGGAAGGAGAGTGGGAGAAAAACGCATTTTTGAATTGAAACATGGTTATAGCTTTTGGAGCCCCCGGTGATGCAGCAGGTTAAACCGCTGAGCTGCTGAACTTGCTGAGCGAAAGCTCGATGGTTCAAATCCAGGCAGCAGGATGAGCTCCCGCTGTTAGTCCCAGCTTCTGCCAACCTAGCAGTTCGAAAACATGCAAATATGAGTAGATCAATAGGTACCTCTCCGGCAGGAAGGTAATGGCACCCCATGCAGTCATGCCAGCCACATAACCTTGGAGGCGTCTATGAACAACGCCGGCTCTTTGGCTTAGAAATGGAGATGAGCACCACCCCCCAGAGTTGGACATGACTAGACTTAATGTCAAGGGGAAACCTTTCCCTTTAGCTTTTATAGCTTTTATTTACCAATTATATATTGGTAACTGATAGTGAGAACCTTGGGACATCATAGAGCACAAACCCTGGCATCAGGTGACCTGCTTGTCACCGAATGTCTCCTGGCTGATGGAAGTCATGAGATGGAGATCCACATGGGTGTAAGCCACTGTGTGTTTCTTTTTTGTCATGTTGTAGTGAATTAGGCCTGATATTTGTCACTCCCAAGTTTCCTTAAAGGTATCCCACAAATGAAGAGTTCAGCATACAGTTCCACCCACACAAATCTGGCTTAATGTCAAAACTGTTACAAGAGATGAGTGGAGTGACCATGTTCTTGCTGCCAAAGCTCCTACAGCTGAGACCATTGCTAACAGCTTGTGATGTATAAGCTGGAGTCAAGTGAACTTTTCCCATTGTGAGAGAAGTTCTCCAGAAAACAAGTAAACAGTACACTAACAGAATTCCCAATCCAAACCATGCCTTCATGATTGGGACAATTAATTGTATTACAAACATTGACATTTTTAAATGAAACCTGAAAGAAGTTTGTTGGAAGTGCTCTTAAATACACTCTCGCTAAATATATGTTGGCTGCAAAAATGAATAAGGAATACAGCACTTAGATTAAAGCTTTCATCTTATACTTATGTCTTTCCACATGTTAACTCTGCATTTTGACATTCCTTTACCTATTACATTTTTTGTTCCTCACTATGTGTCATAAAGTTGTGTCTCTGTCAGTAATTTTTTTACTGCTTCACTGTTTTTCAGACAGTGAAGGAATTTTTAAGGAGGTTGATAGATAATTGAAAACCTCTTTAGGATGCAAACTCATCCTGATCCTTTCCTAATCTTTTGTTATTTATTTTATGTGATTTGTGTGTGTGTGTGTGTGTGGGGGGGGGGAATGAGAGTACTTATTCAAGCCTTATATCTTCAGATTTTCTGGCAATGAATTTATAGGAGTGTACATGTGCCCTCCAGCAGACAAGGCTGATGTTCTAGGAAACCTCAATGGGCAACAGTTTCATTTTAAAATATGTTTCAATGCCTCCCTGTGCTGTTTAACATAGAACATACACATTTTTTAAGAATGAGAAGTGGACTTCCAGCTACTTCAGCTTTTTTGTTTATTTTCAAGTAGTGCATGTCACTCCCAGAGGGTCCCAAAGTTGCCCACCCTTCATAGAGAGTTACCATAATAGTTGTTATGGACAAAACCAATTCAAGTTGAACAATTCTTTAAAACTTCATTGTTGATGCTGTGTTTACAGAAGAGCCTTTTTACCCGATTCAGCTGCGATTCTTTGAGTTCATTTTGTATAATTGTAATTAGTTTGGAGAAGTAGTCAAAGAAATAATTAGTCACAATGGAGAACTGGACTTTAGTGGGTTTGGAAATGCCTGGGGAAATTTCAATAAAATCAGTGTTGCATTACTACTTTCTCATGCAGACATCATGTTTAGTGTTGGGTTTCAAATCACAGCTAAGGCTTACACAAAGACAGCTCCAAAATGTAATTTATTTTACACTGCTCCTTTATCTCTCTGAAAATGAACTAACATATGAGCTTCTCTTCTTCAACTGAAAGGCACAGGTAGTTTCCAATTAAGTTGCTAAGTTGGGTTTCTGCTGCTTTGTGAATTCATTCTAAACGCTAATGTGGAAGTATTGTTTTATCATCCTCTCATTGTGAAATATTCCATACTGAGTTTTTGCTGATGACAGTATATAAAAAAGCAAACGAAAGCTCATTTGTCATTGTTTTCATGGGCAAGTCTTACACTGTTATCTCATGTTCAAGTTCTTTTATTTAGCTCTGGAATTGTATGATTATGGCTCTTAATATTGTATCACCAAAGTTTTCTAAGAATTAAGTATATTATTAACAAAATAATCAGTCTGAGTTAATATTAAATGTACCTGGATCTGGCAAATAAAAGATTAAGAATTGCAGCAATAGTGTGTGTCCCACCAGTTCAAGCACATTTAAAGATGGTCAGTTTTATTACTTTACCTTTTGGAACAGATTCAAAAAATAGTTTATCGCTTGACACCATACTATTTAATGATATTAATATCCTGCTTATGATTGTACAGTCACATCTTGGAGGTTCTGAAAGGATAAAATGGATGTAGTTCTGTGTTTGTTGAGTAGAAGAAATCTTTGTTGGTATACCACTAATTCAGTGTTGATGTTTTTGTAGGCGAATTTTCTCTTAGTCACTAATCCCAAGAAAACTGTGTATTGCCATTAAGAGTTTAATTAAGTAGGACTGATACACATTGTTTCTCAACATGGAGATTCTACTTGGAGTAGAGCAGCGGTTCTTAACATTTATTTATTTACAGTATTTGTATACCGCTTTTCTCACCCCATGGGGGACTCAAAGCGGTTTACACATAAATAATGGCAAAAATTCAATGCCAGTCTGTAGACCCTGGGGTGGGGGTGGAGGCACAATGTCCTTAACAGGAGATCTGTGAAGCTTGAAGAAACATAATGAGCTAAAATAAAATGAATAAAGGCATTGGCCTTTAAAGCCCTAAACGGTTCTGGCCCAACATACCTATCCGAACGTATCTCGGCCTATCAGCCCACCAGGACCCTAAGATCTTCGGGAGAGGCCCTTCTCTCCATCCCGCCTGCTTCACAGGTGCGGCTGGCGGGAACGAGGGATAGGGCCTTTTCTGTGGTGGCCCCACGGCTTTGGAATGCCCTCCCTATAGAGATAAGATCAGCCTCCTCGCTGATGGCATTTCGAAAAAAACTGAAAACATGGATGTTTGAGCAAGCATTCGGCTAATCCGATGCGATGAAGTTTTGATCAAGGACTGGTAATTACAGACAACGAAATTGGATTATGATTTAAGTTAAGAGATGCATTGGTCTGTATTGGTGGCCCAATACTGTGTATTGTATATTTATGTGTTTTATATTTTTATCGGAATATTGTTGTTTTTAATATTGTAAACCGCAATGAGTCGCCGTTTTAGGCTGAGATATTAGCGGTATACAAGTGTACTAAATAAATAAATAAATAAATAAATGAAAGAACACCGATGGACAGAAAGTCATACAGTGATCTGAAGAGCAGGAGTCTTTTGCCATTGATAGTCTTGATGATCACCTTTCAGTATGTTTGTGATGCACTTTAGGGTTTCAATCATGAATTAAGCCTTGGTAGTCCATGGCAAAAAATAAATAAATACAGGGTATTTCAAAATGAACCAAATTTCAAAGCAGTGTATTTAAATACACAATGGCAACATGTTACAATTACACAAAAATTACAAATGGTTTAATGGGTTATCAAGTTATCAAGTTTAATGGGTCGTTGTTGCAGAGATAGCGATTTGAAATTGAGTCCATCTTTTTGAAACACTCTGTATATTTAAAGGTGGCCCATGGCAAAGAAAATGTTAAGAATTGCAGCAATAGTGTGTGTCCCACCAGTTCAAGCACATTTAAAGATGGAAATTGGTTGGCTTATGGTGACCTTTCATGTGGCCCCCAAGTTCCCCCATTGCAATTTTGAAAGAAAAACAGACATTTGCACCTCAGAACCTTCCAGGGAGTACAACTCTATGTACAAAGCCTCCCACAGAAATTTTGTTAGTAGGAAAGGCCTCTCAAAGGCTGGAAGGTTTTCTTATCATTAGGAAGGTTTTTGTAATGGGTGGATTGTTCTCTTAATGTTTGGAGGGTCTTCTTATAATTAGGAAAGTCTTCTCATTGTTGAGAAGGTCCTCTTAAGGCTTGGATGGTCCTGTTGTTTCTGGGAAAACCTCTTAATGATTTAATAATTCTTATAATTAGGAAGGTCTTCTCAATGGCGGAAAGCCCTTCTTGTCATTGGGAAGGTCTTCTCAATGGTGGAAAGGTAGAAACCAATTTTAATGGGGAACCAAAAAAGCAACCTACAGCTATCTGGCAGTAGGTGGGAATGTAACGGATGCAGCTATCTATTCTTGCTGCTCCTTTGAAGAAATACATTCTCACTAGTATGCTCCATTTGCTGCTTCAAAAAGCATTGGAAAAATTGCTTAACTGGGTTTCATTATAAGTGTAGAAGCTTTCTACATATGATGAGAGGGAATGCTAGTCTGCTGTTTGGTGTCCCAATTTGTTTTATATCATAAACAAGAAGAGTTACAATGCTCTATAGGACTTTTATCTAACCAACCTCAGTGGAGTAGTTTTCTATAGAAAGAAACATGAGTATTTGTAATTTTACCTGTTTATGTATTCAACATAGTTGCTGTAATCTGATTATTTATTCTGCATTTTAAGATTGGTTGTAATTCTTCTGTGAACAATTTCACTCAGAAAAATAGGGTACAGATAGTCCTCAAGTTATGAACAAGATAGGTTCTCTAGGTTTGTTCTTAAGTTGAATTTGTATGTAAGTTGGAACAGGTACATTTTTTCAGTTTCACTCCAGCTATACACACACACACACACAAGCTTTGGATAGCATAGGGAAGAGTTAATACCTCTGTGGTGTTTGTTGTGCTGTCTGTGTCCCTGTTCAAGATATTTCACTTCACTTTCTGTCTCTGTGATAATTGGATCTTGAAAAATTGAGCGTGTTGTGGAAACAAGGATTGGTGATAAAACTTCAGTGGAGACCTCTTTCAAGAGTGAATTTCCCTCCCTAGGGGTGGATTTCTATCACTACCTGTTGTCTCACCCCCATTCTTAACTATGAGTTGTTTGTAAGTTGGATGTTTGTTACTCAGGGATTGCCTGTATTCATTAAATTTATTAAATAACTGTATGTATGAAAAGATTAATTGAATGAGGCTGCCACCTTCATTTTTCTGGCCATTCTTTGAATTTTTCTCTTTAATTTTTTCACAGACACATCTATAATTTATTTGTTAAGTATTTTGAATTTGTTACAAATAGTTATTATACTCTCTCTGCAGGCAACTTTTTAGCTAAATGTTAATTAAGCATCAAGTATCTCTTAATGGAGTGCTGACGGAAGTAAACAAATTTCAAAATATAGATCAAGAAAATGTCAGCTAAATGGAATGCAACACTTTGATATCTCTGACTGTGAGACTACAAAGGGCAGATCTAAAATGCATTTTAAACTTTTACAGATATAAAAATGCTATGCTGATGAGTTATTTATACTCACTGTAAAGTTTGGAAAATGCAGTGTGAAAAAATAACCACATAAACATTTTGGCTTTTTATTTGTTAATGCTAGCATTTTTCTCCCTTTATTGACAGGTGGGCTCATGTCATGTGTGCAATTGCTATTCCTGAAGTCAGATTTGGTAATGTTACAGAAAGGACACCGATAGACACCAGCAGGATACCTTTGCAGAGATTAAAACTGGTGAGCAGTAATGGTCCAAAATATCATATATTGTTGTGTGAAACATGTAGCAAACATTATGGATTATGATTGTTTTGTGGAATTACTCTTATTCAAAAATGCCAGCTAACATTTGTGGAAACTGCTGTTTTATACTGTCTGCTTAAATATGATGTAGATATTTTATTGGACATTTTCTCCTAACTTCGGAATTTCCATACATACTTAACAGAATAATAAGAAATGTTCTAATTTATAATTTTCAAGAAATTTTGCTTTAAGAAGAGGAGAGACTGAACAAGTATTGGCACACAGAATGGTGTAATTTTTACAGCTTCTGCTGTTTTCAGGCATCATCCCTCAATATTTGCAATTTGACTTTTGTGGAATTGATTATTCATGTATTTGTTTTAAAATGTTTTCTCCAGGAATGTCTAGGTCCTTGAGTGTGACTCGGTGGTCAACTTCCCCTGGTCATCCTGGAGAACCTACACAGATATAGAGAGAACATTTCTATAGGAATATCTAGGTCCACCAGTATGATTCTATGGTCAGCATCCAGCAAAAGTTAACCAGTCATACAGGAATACCTAAAAATTCCTATACAAACAACCCCCAAGTTATGAACAAGATAGGTTCTGTAGATTGCTTCTTAAGTTGAATTTGTTTGTAAGTTGGAACAGGTACATTTGTAAATGTAACTCTATCTATCTATCTATTTTTGGATAGCATAGGGAAGAGTTAACATCCCTGTGATGTTTGTTTTGCTGTCTGTGCCCCTGTTCAGAAGTTTCCACTTTACTTTCTGTCCCTGTAATAATTGAATTTTGAAAAAATTGGCTCGTTGTGGAAACAAGGATTGGTGAAAAAGCTTCAGTGGAGATACCTTTCCCCCATAATAACTCTTTCAAGAGTGAATTTCCCTTTCTGTGGGTAGATTTCTCTAACTTCTTGTTGTCTTACTCTTGTTCTTAACTATGACTCATTTTATAAGTTGGATGTTTGCAACTTGGGAACTGCCTGTATAGGTGTTCACTCAGGTAAAAAACTTGCAATTTCTTTATTTCATTTACCCTCACTTTCATGGGGGGGGGGTCTTCTGCACCTAACCCCAGCAAATGTGTAAGGCTGACTACCTTCCTTTTGCAACTCATCATTTTGCAAGGACTAAGGTAATTATGGTATACCTTGCATGATTTTTGCTAGCCCTGCTTGTTTTATCACATCATTTCCTCCTATTTATGATCTGGCCATGCAAATCTGGACTTAAAACATATCTTTTCTGCTCACCTTATCTTCAATGAAAATTCTCTAACGTGCACTGTGAATTGGAAGTGAAGGTGAAGGCTTCAGGTGGACTCGTTCTATGTATCACCAAGTTTGAAGCATTCCAGGAACATTAGGGAGACAGGAAAGAGTTGGGGTAGATATCAGATTTCTCTCTCTGTTCCAGGTGAATAATAAATATCTAGTTCCATGTTTTCACTTGCTAGCTTAGTATGATATAATAGTGTAAAGGTAGATGTTATTTTAGGGTCCCTCAGCTGGAATGCAAAAGAGATGCCAGGCAGACTTGGGAGGGGTCTTATATTTAAGCTGTGATCCCAACTGAAAAACTTCTTGTTGAGCACTTACTCCAAAAATCTATCAGAGCTTTGTCTACTGTTCATTTCCCCCCTTTTGTTTGCAGAGCATAAGCCTCCACAATTGTGTGATACTAATAAATTTCTGTCTCTTGAAAACATATCATTATGTGCCTAAATATTATTAAGTTGAACAATAATGCAAATGAATATGGCTAAATAATGTGAAATGTGAGTGCATGCGAGCACCTTTAAGTCGTCTGTCAATTTATTATGATCCCATGAATTTCAAATGGTTTTCTTAGGCAAGGAATACTGAGAGTTGGTTTTGTTGGGTCCTTCCTCTGATATTCCTGTTGGGTCCTTCCTCTGGTATTTATTGGTGGTCTCTCATTTAGCCAAGGCTTACCGTGCTTTGTTTCCAAGATCAGACAGGATCTGGTGGCTTTAGGGTTTTTTGGCCAAAACAGTTAAAATTATACTTAGATACAAAGGTTCATCTCTATGTTGACATTGACATTTTTAAAATTTATCATGTCTTTCAGTAGAGTAAATGACACAAAAACGTCTATATTTGTCTTTATCTTGACCGACGATGCATTTATTTTTCTCTCTCTTTATATAGTTTCCTATTATTTTTACATTTCAGATCTGTTTCTCCAGAGGTAGAATATGAGTTTTGGAGAAACTGAAGTTGCCTTTGGGTTTTTGATTACCTCAAATGTATATTTGATAAGTGAATCCAATATAATCATGAGTATAGTGAGAAATTTTATGTTAGAAATAGAATTTCACAGCAAGGATGACTGATCTATAAACCTTTCAGTGTAAAGCTAAGGCATAAGTAGTGCATTTAGAAACCTATGTTTGAAAATTTGTGCCTGAAGGCAAATAATGGCAGGTTTGAAAACCAAAGATTATCACCCTTATCCTTGAGAAGGGGAATTGATTCTAAAAAGAAAAGAAAATATTGCGATTTTCCATTAAAAGGAATGGTACAGTATTGTTGACAAATGCAAGTTATGTCTAAAAGTATTTCAGTCCTTTGAATATTAACATCTAAATAAAAAAACACAATATACCTTCTATATTTGATCTAAAAAGAAAATAATTTTCAATAAAATTTATATAGATATAGAAAACATTTTAATATACTTAAAGCTTCTTGCAGTGATGCATTTTACTGTTTTAATGTATTTTTCAAATATAAGCAAGAATTGATGAACTTTCAGAATTTCCCACAATTATTACTGAAACTGATAAAATCAAGGAAAGTAATTATACTGAAAATTAACTTATGTCTTAACTAGCTGACTTCCATACCTTTTCTGTCGGTCGGGAGAACACTGAAGCGTGTTCTCTTACTCTTACAGTGTTTTAAAAATTATCTTAAAATAGTTTGAAAACTAAATCCTTCTTTTCCCCTCAATTAGAGCTGTGGTAAAGTACTGATGATAGCTGACAAGCCACCATTTTTATGTCAGTTAAAAATGTATTGTCTCGTCACTATATATATATATAGTGCCACTATTCATATGGGATATTAATAAACAGTGGTCTAAAATTGTGAAGTAATAGTAATATCTATTTAATATCTAATGATTTATTCCATTAAATTGATCATATTGTATACTGTCAGTTTTATGTATACTGGTGAAGTAGCTACAAGATATTTCTATAAAATACAGAGTAAAATACATTTAACTACAAATGCTTTTTTGAAATCTGAATCTGTGAAAGTGGATACCTAGGAGCTGTGCACTTTGCAATCACTATATCTGTACTAGTGAATACAAGGAGTAAAAAAATCATCAAACCATTCTAGGCTTCAAATGATCTGAAAATTCTTAAATATACAAACTCCATTTCAAAATAGGTTTTATCATTTCTTCAATCTGTCTTATGTCTGGAGCCATATATAAAACAAGGGAAATATACATAAAACTAAATGATGGACGTGATCCTGCATTAGTAGATGTAGCTACAGCAACATACAATCAACCCTTCACATTTCTGGGTTAAACTTTAGCAATTTGGTTATTCATGGATTTTTCTGCTGCTTTATGCCATTCTTGATAGGGATGTATAAGGTTCACCTTGTGTTTGCAATCCCTCTGCAAATCTTGCAAGACCTTCCTGGTCTAAAGGGGCAGAGCTCCAGCTGCTGTCTTTGCTTCTGGCTGATGTCCCCATCTGTGTCAAGGTCCGCACTGAGTTTAACTTTTCTGGCAACTGCTCCTTCAGGTGGTACCAAGAGCAGACAGAGGGACACCTGGGAGAAATGGGAATTGGGTTTGAGTGGAAATCCTGGGTGGCAGCAAGTATGCTTTCGCTCTGAGCAAGAAGCACAGCAGTCCATGTCTCAACCTTGTATGCACGCTGGGCAACAGTCAGTAGAGTGATGTGCTAAATCCATATTAAAATGGTATAGGGCAGCAGCAGAGGTGGTGTAAAATATGGCGTGTTGTGAGATTTGTGGGGTTTAGAGATATTAGTGTTTTTTTCCATATTCAGTTATCGCCCTCCTCCAAAAAAAACTGTCTTTTAAGCCATTCAGCTCCTGACAGAGGAATTTCTGAGGCATCGCAGAGTGGAGTGATGAGCAGGGATGCTTTCAGTCCCCTCTGGGTAGTGTTACACCTGCCTATCATAGTCCATCCTACTATTGGGATAGTTCTGGGTGCACCACTGCTTAATGTTCTGTTGTCAATGCTTCAGAAATTCCTGTGTTGAGGGCCTGCATGGCTAAAATGTTAAGCTTGGAGGTTTCATTCAGTTGTTCCGATAGTGTAACAACTATAAAACTGAATTAATGCAATCACCATGCCATCAGACACGTAAAACATCATAATTACTGAACAGAATGCCAGTCATTGGTTTTTAGATATCTCCAGCAGAATAAACAATATATTCCTCTCCCTTTGCAACATCATTAATGTATTCTTATTTTGCATGATGATCATATTTCCCTAGGTGTTAAAGTCTAGTTTTGTTTTTTTTAAAAGTAATGATTTCTGGATTAGCTATGGATACCTTGACTGCTGTTAACACAATTGAGAATATGTCTTTTTTTAACAATCAGTCAACATATCAGACCAAGATGTGCTGTTAATCAATGTGGATCATATATTCTGTCTACTGATGAACAATTTAAGAGAAAGAAACAACATTATTAAAGAAATGGGTGCAATTGTATATGTGCTTTCTTAGGTGTAAACCCACTCAATATTGTTGTTTCTAAGAAAAGATTTATTTAGAGGCTAACAACTTTTATTTAACAATACATACATACATATATACATGTACTACACTAATGACTAACCACAATTTCATGACTAAGAGTTTATCAGATGTATTGTGGATTCTACTGTCCATTAGATATGATTTATAACGTGGTCTGAGTTTAGGAAAACAATAAAAACCTAGCCTTTAAGGTAG